TATTATTATATATATGTAGGTTCTCAATATATTTTCATGAGTGTATTGAGAGGCCAAAGTTTATATAATCATTTACTTAAATTTTCGTCGGAGCGACCCTTTTGGTTTAATCTATTCATACGTTACAGCGTATTAAAGTTGATATATAGGCTTATATAATTTATATAAGTTAGGTGGTATATTCATTTTCTAGTTATTATCAGGAAGAAGCTGCTGCCCATCTCTTAGATTTTTATACGTGGTAGAGCCATGCTGCAGCCATATTATGCTTGTAGCACGAATGGGTCAGCTCGACCGGGGAAGGACCACGCTCTCACAGAATACCAGCATAAAATAGCAGCTTAACGCTGCTACGTTTCGTATGGTGAGTGTAGAGAACCGGAGACCCTTTTTATTGGAAATGAGGCATTCCATCTTAGTCTTCATGGATGACAACGCATCTGCAGTTTGATTCGTAATCGAAAATAGATGTAGATATCTATGAGCCACAGCAACCACTTACCATTAGGTGGACTGTGTGCTCGTTTGTCACCCTTGTCCTATAATTTTTTTTCCTCTGTTGCTTCTTACGACACTCACGGGACGATATGGGTAGCTATATTCTTACCACTCCTCAACGCTACTACACGGTCATTATATTCTATTCTGCCAGAAATAGAATGGAATACAATAAATTTTCAATTCAATATAGATTACAAGAACCCGTATCGAAAATCACTTAAGCTTTTACCACTGGTTCGGAATAACCTATGTCCTGAAAAGAACCAGCAAGAAACCCAGTAGGACTTTTTTAAATGTTAATTTACAATATAGTGTGTTACAATTAAAAATATGATAAAATAAAGTTATAAAAACAAATTGGTAGCAAACACCTCATTCCCAAGAATTATTAACAACCATGTATGCCAATAAATTAATTGTGGCAATAACTGCTAGAGCCATATCAGACTCACACAAAAATAATCGTCTGTCACTACGAAACTGACACATACCAATTAAAATAATTCATTTACAATTTCACACATACATAGATATATTCGGTGTCATAATAGTGTAATGAAGTGACACAACTACATTGATAAGTTGCATACAGCCTATACAGCATATACTTAATATTATACTAAATATGGGACTTTATTTATTACTACTATAATTACCTATCATTTAACTAATAAACTTAATGTTTATAATAATTTTAAAAACCATAGATAGTTTTAACTACCACTGATTTTTAAAATGGATTAGTTTTGTATATATATACATATATAAGAGTATATATATAGCGAATACAATTTTTGTGACTTCGCTTTTTTCATTAAAAAAAATATTATATCAGTATAGAGAGTTAAAGCACAACATCGCAGTTGTGGTGATTACTTAGCTCATTATAGCTTCCCACTTTTACATTTTATCCTTAAGTTGACGCTTAATAAGTTGTTACTTCAACGACAATTTTTTCAAAAGCAAATCGTTTTTCTTTATCTATCAACGATTTTTTTTTCATCCAGTTTCTGAAGAAATTTTTTCAACCCAGCTGCTTTTTCCTTTAATAAAAATGGCTTAGCTTGGAACGTTTTAATATTTTCTAAGTATATAGGTGTTGCTGCATTTTTCTTTTTTTGGTGTAAGTAATATGGTGGGAATTGAATTATAATTGTCATGTTTCCTTTGAGTAAACCTGAAAAATAAATAGCCTATATTATGCTGTTATCATCTTTCTATGCAGCTTGAGTAAGCTCATCATATTTCAATAGTACTATTTGATAAATATGTACCTACTTCTTTTAATCAAACATATTATCTACAGTAAACTATTAAAAGAAAACTCGCAGGTGGAGGGGTTGATATTGTACATGCAGATGTCAATGAATCAGGAATAGTGAGAGTGGAACTTATGGGATCGTAAGATGATATTATGTCATCTGGTAGAGTAAAAGTTCATAGAAGTCTGTGGAAAATTAGATCTAAGAGTGTACATTTTTTGAAGTGGAGAAATCTGAGCTTCATCTCACAACTATGACTAACCACATACTACATATTCAACATTTTACGGGTGCACGGGTCATTACATCTTAGTCGTCAGTGTTGGCGATGCATTTGCATTCTGTAGCGGTTTATTGGTATAAGATCGTAAGTGTCCATGGACCACAGTTTACTTACTATCAGTTTTAAAATAAAAGCCTACGGAAGAATAATCAGGTGTGGTATTAAACTTGGCTTGGTGCACTTGACCAATCGCCTTCTATTGTTCGCCAACACTTGAAAATCAGGGGTCTGGAAATGATCTGAGCAAATGACACTGTTTCTTGTTCGCCAGGTACGCCTGTTATTACAAAAGTTCTTCTATATATCATTTAAACTCTGATCTTTAGGAAACCTACAATAAATAAATAAAAAAAAACTATAATACCAACGAGTATATAATGTATTATATACTCGTTGGTATTATATTATATTTAATTTGATGCAAATTTAATATTAACTAAATTATAATAAAGCTCATAATATATATTAAATAAATCAGAAAACGTAATCTCAAAAATAATTATATGAAAAACAGATATAGCTGTATATAATATATGTGCCATTTGCTATTTTTATCGATAACTATTTAAAAACCAGTATATCAAAATTATCGTTCGGTGACAAAAACAACTCGATGACAAATTCAGATCAGTCACTCGACCGAACCGCATATTGTATGAAGGCGATTGGCCTGTGGTGGTAAACAAATCCGAAACAACACGACCGTTACTATGGCTACTATTAACTGTTATTATTGTAAAACGTATTATACACGGTTGATCTTGATGTACGTCCCGCCAAGGTCATGCACGATGCACGATGCAAAACGACAATGAATAGGCTGGACGTACGTCACTTGACGTACGTCATTGCTGTACGCCAAGCCGTACTCATTGTCGTTTTGCATCGTGCATCATGCATGACCTTGGCTGAACGTACTTCAAGATGGACCGTGTATAAGACGTTTAACTTTTTAGATTAAAAAGAAATAAACAAATATTATAAAAAATTACTTAAATAGCATGAAAGGTATCGCCATCTTTTTGTAAATTTGACGTGACAGATGTCTTTTTGCAGCAAAAAACTGAACAATTTCGCACTTTTGTGGGACGTTATTCAGTCGCGCAACTAAAAACCATCGGTCAAATACGACCTGACCAAAATATGAAACGACCACCAATGATTGATACGTCTAAAAATAGTGATTTAGGTGTATATTAAATTACGGGTTCCAACTTATTTTATTGGAGCCGGTAAAATAATTTAGGTTTGTAATGAAAAACTTCATTACTTTACTACTTTTGAACGCATCTAAACCCGGCCCGTTCTTATCTGTGGTACACGTTTCGTCATAACACCAAAGTAACACTACCATTATGCGTTTACTTTTTTTAAATACTAGATTTTATTGTAGATTTTTTATTTATTTTTGGGAGTGTATTATCAATAATATCATTTTTAGATGAGGATATGGAAAGTATTCCGAAATAAGTTGCAAATGATATATATATATTAAAAGCGGCAGTAGCCTAACAGCAGGGCGCAGACCGTGAACTCGAAAGGTCGTGGGTTCGAATCCACCATTCGACTACTGTGGTGAACCACTTCTAACACAAGCATTTTAAGCTTACCAGAAGTGGTTAAAGGGAATATTAGTAACGTTTAATAGCATTACTAGTATTTTTTTATAAAATAAAATAAAAAAATGATAGGTTGACAGTAAATATAGAATGCACTAATACTTAGAACGGAACGTATTATGAGTGTCTCTTTGCAGTCTGTGACAAAGAGAATATAATCACTACGTTTATTAATTAATCAATACGTATGGTCTGTGGTTAATACGAGAGCTCTCAAAGCTTGAGCAATAGTCAAAGTACCTGTATCATGTGTCTTAGATACTTAGCAGTGAAAAGATTAGAAAAGTTATTGATTCATTTTTTTGTGGTTTTAGCCATTGACTTGACTTATTTAATTCAGTAATATACATATTACTGCATAGTTTTCATATAAATTGTTTGAGCTGAGGTTGTAGTCATGGCTCAATGTTCTATGATCCTCGGCTTTTAAATAACATATTTTTAATTTAGGATTTAGATTGTGCCCAGGGGGGACCGATTAATCCATACACAAGCCATGTTCGCGATATTTTATAGCCAGGTCACAGCATGTATGGGCCGTGACCGATGTTTTTTTAGTCCAGTAACCACACTTTTTATGCTTATAGCAAATATGAGACAATTAATGCAAGTGGCATCATTTTGCATTACCACGAGTAATTGTTCGGCTTGATTACAGCCGCCAAATTTCACTAACGTATATCGCGACAAAACTCACGTTACCATCGACATCATCTGGATGCTTGGCGATCCACCACTGTGCGATTCACTAGGAGTTTTATACCTTGCACGACTTCTTTGTGAAATAGTTACCACCGGTGATTTTTTGGACCGCTACGGCATAAGGACCTTCAAGAAACAAACTTACTCCCTTTTAAAAGGCCGGCAACGTACACGCGAATTCCCCAGGTGTTGCAATTGTTCATGGACGGCGGTCACCACATACCATCAAATGCTCACAACCGCATATGACGGCTCCATGGCGTAGTGGCTTAGCAAAGAGTTGCTACGCTAAGGGCCGCGGGTTGGATTCCCGCACGGAACAAGTGTTTGTGTGGCCTACAAATAATTGTACGGGGGTCTGGATGTTTGTAAAATTTATGTATGTAAACCGCCCCCACGATACAGGAGAAAATCCTTGTGGGGAGGCTAACGTTTTGTTAAACAAAATATGAAATATAATATAATACAAATATAAGATATATAATCCCTCTTCTATAAATTACAGGCTATGTTCCGCACTGGACTTTTGATAGAATGAAATCGAATAATACGCAGTAGTTGGTCTACAAAGTACAATTTTCTTCCTTATGTCCTATTGTTATACTTACGATTTATGATTTTTTTCTGTGGCAGCTTAACGGTGAATGGTGTCTGCCAGCTTTCGTGTGCGATTGCTACATCGCCATGGACGTCACATGCTCAACCTCGAGCATTTTCAACTTAGTTGCCATATCCGTAGACAGGTAAGGCTGTAAATGTTTTTCATGAAATGTAATATTATGTAAGTTATAACTAGGGTTACTTAAGATATAATCTCTAAAATTGTACTAGAACCATTTGTCTACCACACTGGATGGAGTGACGACCTGGTAATAGATGTAGGAAGTCGATGTATGTAGGTAGCTCAGGACCGTGCTTTGTAGCTTCCTTGGTGAGGGTGGAGGGATTATTTTTAACAATGTAATAGCGAATGGCAATAAAGATGAAGATAATGACGAAATTATGAATAGTAAAAATTATGGCTTAGACGGAAAATTGCAAAAGATAGGTGATTAGCCCAACGCCTACACAATCATATATCCAATCCCATTAGTTGGCTTTTACGACATGCTAGGCAAGTAACACAACTTCCACATTTTTTGTTATAAGTCCCACATAAATGCGGGACCTAATAGAATTGAACCTAACTAATCTGATAACTTTAATATTAGAAGTATTTCAATTTTATAAGCAAATTGTGAAGTATTTCTTTAACGGTGGTAGAGCCTTGCAGCAGCTTTTGCTGTTGCACGTAAGGGCCGGCTCGAGCCGGGTTAGTACCACGACCTCACAGAATACCGGCGTGAAGTGGAAGCTCTGCTTCCGCGTTTCGTCTGGTGAGTGCAGGTGACCGGTTGCCCAATTCCCCCCCCCCCCCCCCATCAACATGGTAGCGGAATTACGTCATAAACTACCCCAGGAGGGTACCAGTACCCCTGGAGAATCCCTCGCTGAGCATCCACGACCATGCTATTCCACTCCTGAGCGTGGGTGCTCAGGCTGCCCCGCGTATTCTGGGGAGGCAAAATTCCGCTCAACACAATAACTGCTCGGGGCAAACTGAGCAACAAGACCAAGGCGACCCCTGCCACGCTATCCGTGAATTTCTGCAATATCAGGGGACTTCACTCGAACCTAAACGCCGTCCACTACCATCTTGAGACGGCGAAGCCGGCCTTGCTCTTTCTGACCGAGACGCAGGTGTCCTCTCCGGCTGATACTTCGTATCTCTCCTACCCGGGGTACAAATTGGAGCACTCCTTTGTGCCTCGGGCTGGAGTTTGCGTGTATGTCAGAGAGGATATCTGTTCTCGACGCCTCGGCAGTCTTGAAGGTTCGGACCTGTCCATCCTTTGGCTACGCGTAGACAGCGACGACCATCCGCGCGTCTACGTGTGCCTCTATAGGTCCCATAGCGGTAATGCCGAAACAGACCGACTCATCGACCACGTCCAAATGGCTACAGATTCCTTGCTACAACAGGTCCCATCCGCAGAGATCGTGATCCTTGGCAATTTTAACGCCCACCACGCCGAATGGCTCGGTTCACGTTTAACCGATCATGCGAGGAGATCTGTTTATGACTTTGCCTTGGCATATGGTCTGACACAACTGGTTACATCGCCTACGCGGATTCCAGATGTTGAGGATCATACACCTTCCCTGTTGGACCTTCTGCTGACCTCTCATCCGGACGGATATCAGGTTTCCGTCGATGCCCCTCTTGGCTCTTCGGACCATTGTCTGATCCGGAGTGTGGTGCCACTCACGCTCCCCTCGCGGTTGCGTTCTGCAGGTTGCCGCCGTGTTTGGCATTACAGGTCGGCGGATTGGGACGGAATGCGGTCTTTCTTTGCTTCCTACCCATGGGGGCGGGTTTGCTTCTCGCCGGATGATCCCAGCGCTGTTGCTGACTCTGTCACTGATGTAGTGCTACAGGGAATGGAACTATTTATTCCATCATATGTGGTACCCATCGGAGGCAGATCTCAGCCTTGGCTTGGTCGCTCCTGTAAGACTGCATTACGCAGTAAGCAGGAGTGTTATCAAGCCTGGGCTGCGGCTTCGGTGACTCGGGATGTAAACACCAGCACACTCAAAAAGAAGTATAACTTCGCCTCCAGGTCCTTCAAAAGAGTTATTGTCAAGGCAAAGTCAGAGCACATAGGCAGAATTGGCGAGAAACTAGTTCGCCTTCCTTCGGGAACCCGTGCATTCTGGTCTCTCGCCAAGGCTGTCCAAGGGAATTTATGTAAGCCATCACTACCATCTCTGCACAGGGAGGACGACTCACTGGCCCACGACGCAAAAGAGAAGGCCGACCTTTTAGGCTCCCTTTTTGCGTCCAACTCGACTGTTGATGATGGGGGGAACACACCGCCGACCATCCCGCGGTGTGAGTGCCCCATGCCGGATGTGCGATTATCACAGCGCTCGGTTCGCAGAGCACTCCTCTCCCTTGACATCCACAAGTCGAGTGGGCCTGACGGAATCCCCCCAATTGTGCTGAGGACGTGTGCTCCGGAGTTGGCACCGGTTCTAACGCGTCTTTTCCGGTACTCCTACTCCCTAGGCGTAGTCCCGAAATCATGGAAGACAGCTTTTGTCCACCCGATCCCTAAAAAAGGCGACCGCTCAGATCCGTCCAACTACAGGCCTATCGCCATCACCCCCTTGTTCTCCAAAATAATGGAATCCGTTGTAAACTGCCACCTCATGCGGTACCTTGAGGATCACCAGCTGATTAGTGACCGCCAGTACGGTTTTCGTCGGGGTCGATCAGCTGGTGATCTTCTGGTCTACTTAACTCATAGATGGGCGTTGGCAGTAGAGTCCAAGGGGGAGGCATTGGCCGTTAGTTTGGACATTGCGAAGGCCTTCGATCGGGTTTGGCACAAAGCGCTTCTTTCGAAGCTCCCTTCCTATGGGCTTCCCGAGAAATTATGCAATTGGATCACCAGCTTTCTTGCAGATCGGAGCATCAAGGTCGTTGTAGACGGTGCATGCTCCGACTACAAACCTATTAACGCTGGTGTTCCACAAGGCTGCGTGCTATCACCAACGCTGTTTCTTCTGCATATCAATGATATGTTGCAAGCTGGTAGCATTCATTGCTATGCAGATGACAGCACTGGTGATGCTCTATACACCGGCCGTGCCAATATTTCTCGGGAAATCGTCACCGAGTACCGGAACAAACTTGTGTCTGAAGTCGAGTCTTTGCTGGACAAAGTCTCGGATTGGGGGCGACTAAATCTAGTCCAGTTTAATCCTCAGAAGACACAAGTTTGCGCGTTTACCGCTAAAAAGAACCCCTTTGTCGTATCTCCTCAGTTTCAAAGTACTCCCCTTGTTGCCTCAGCCAGTATCGGAATCCTCGGCGTCGACATATCGAGTAGCGTGCAGTTTCGTGGTCACTTGGAAGAGAAGGCCAAATTGGCCTCTAAAAAGCTTGGCGTGCTCAGCAGAGCGGGACAGTATTTCATGCCGGCTCAACGCCTGCAACTTTACAAGGCGCAGGTTCGGCCTCACATGGAATACTGTTCCCATCTCTGGGCTGGGGCTCCCCAGTGCCAGTTTATTCCACTTGACCGCATCCAGCGCAGAGCGGCTCGAATCGTCGACGACCGAGTCCTTTCCAATCGGCTCGACTCATTGGCACTGCGAAGAGATGTTGCATCTCTTAGCATTTTCTTTCGCATTTACCATGGGGAGTGCTCTGAGGAATTGTTCGGATTAATCCCAGCCGCCAAATTTCACGAACGCACATCGCGGCAGAACTCTCGATACCATCCACACCATCTGGATGATTGGCGGTCCACCACTGTGCGATTTAGAAGATGTTTTCTTCCTCGCACGACCTCCTTGTGGAATCAATTACCATCAGCGATTTTTCCGGACCGATACGACTTTGGGACCTTCAAGAAAAGAGCGTACTCCTTTTTAAAAGGCCGGCAACGCATCTGCGATTCCCCTGGTGTTGCAGTTGTTCATGGGCGGCGGTAGTCACTTACCATCAGGTGAGCCGCATGCTCGTTTGCCCCCTCTCCTATAAAAAAAAAAAAAGAAAAAAAAAGTATTTGTTGCAATTATGTTATAAGCAATTAGTTAAATTTCGGTAGCAGTGCTAAAGGTTTTAAAAACTAAAATTAAATCTTGATGACATGTATTACTATTTCGTTACAATAATGAATTAAAAAACTTATTCATGCGATACCGACTTTCTTAACTAAATGACTACATTTACTACGATGAGGTATATAATGAATGTAGTTCTAAATTTAATAGTTTTTATAGGGTTGTCAAAATAAGTCAGTTTTCTGAAAGTATGACACATTGCTTTGACCAGCAATAATAATTAAACAAAAGATTCAGCGTCGTTTGAAACATTATAATTCATAACATATTTACGAGTAATCTGGAGTAATCTGATAGCAAAATCTTAGTCGAGACAGTTCGTGATCAACATGTTTTGTGATAATAAGGCCAACTGCGTATATCAGATACTTAGCTATGCCAATTTGAGATCAATAAATATGTTTTTAAATAAAATTTAAATAAAACTAATTTTACGGAATATTATCGCGTATATTAACTTATTTTATATTCCCGACGTTTCGGGCACTTTTCAGCACCCATAGTCACGGGGAGGACTGAAGTGTATGACGTTCCAATGTCATAGTTAACCACGGCTACCTTCAGTTTAAAAATTATTAATTTTTGTTCCGATCTACGCAGTGTGAACTTACAGTATCATGAAGTCTTGCAGTTGTATGCTTGGGTTGGGATTTAATTTTATTAATTAGGGGATCCCAAGCAGATGGTAGCACCCAGCCATCTTCTCTATTGAAATTAGGATGTTTTTTGATTTCAATAGCCTCGCGAATCATCCTGGGAAGGAATCGGTGTTCTTTAGCGAGGATTTGTGGTCTATCAAATCTAATGTAGTGACGGGGGCGATCCTGTACGTGTTCACAGACTGCAAACTTCCCGGAGCGTCGATTCTTCACATCAGCTATGGGTTTTTTAACACGGGTTTTTATGGATCCTTTAGTTTGTCGTATATAAGAGAGACAATCAAGCTTATACACTCCTGCATCTTGCAGAGGAATATTACACTTGACTGATGTTAAAAACTGACTAATCTTCTTCGGCGGCTTGAAATATATTTTAATGAAAGCACGCTTCAAGATGTAGCCAATCT